GCCCCCCCCTGCCTGCACCAAGTGCTGCCTGCCCCTCAGGGCCATGTTAAGGGGGGGTCAACATGCCCCCCCTCACCCTGGGGACGAGGAAGCATTGCCACCAGGTGTGCACCTGCATTCATTTCTGCACTGGGCCAGGCAGCAGCCTGGGGCCAGCTCAGCCCCTCTGCCAGCTGGTGCGCAGCCAAAGCCCGGAGGGGTAGGCAGGGAGCTGGCCCTGCAGGCTCTGTGGCCTCCCCGTTCCCCCCCCACCTGGCTTTCAGAAGCCAGGCTGGGTAAGCAGCAGTCCACAGCCCAGGAGGGACAGGACACCTGGGAGAGAAAGGGTGCCCCCAGCATGGACACCCTCCAGGAGATCCTTTGAGCTGCAGCCCCAGGTCAGTGGGGGATGCAAAACATCAGGCTGGGGCCAGCCAGGAAGGGGTGGTGACAGGGTGTCCCAGCTGGGCCCCTCTGCAGCACGCACTGCTGCACTGTGCAGGCAGCAGGGCTCTGACGGAGGAAACTCTGTTAACTGTTAACTCTATTAACAGAGGAGTCGCTGCAGGGGATGCAGTTGAAGGGAGGGAGACCTGCCCCCCATCCACAGGTGCTACCAACCGTGTGGCCCTTCCCCTGGGGAGTAGGGCCACCACAGGCACAGCACCAGCAAGACCAGGGTGCAGAGTTCTGCCCACAGATCCCAGGGCAGGTGAGAGTTGGGGCTGTCCCAGCCATTGTTCCCTCACCCCTGTCTCTGCCAGGCCAGCACCTCTAGGGGGGGACACAATGGCCATCCCTCTGGTGCTGCTCAGGACCCTACTTACCCAGCCTGCAGCTCCTTGCCTCTGCCCCTCATGCCCCCAGCCCGGCCAGCACCCACAACCTACCAGGAGCCAGATTTAATCCCTACACAGACACCAAGGTCAGTGAAGATGGAGCGGGAGGAGGTGTAGATTCCCCGGCAGCCTGTGGTGAGGCAGATGGTCCCCCAGCAGCCCATGGAGATTAATGGTGGTACAAGGATGCATCTGCAGCCCATGGAGGACTCCACGCTGGAGCAGGTGGCTGCACCCAAAGGAGTTCATAGAGGACTGTCTCTGTGAGAAAGGACCTCACGCTGCTGGAGACTGATGGTGAAGCAGAGATGCATATGCAGCCCATGAGAAGGGACTCCACACCAGAGTGGGTGGCTGTACCCTAAGAAGCCATGACTCCATGGGAAAAGCCCGCGCTGGAGCAATCTGATGGTTAAAGATTGCATCCTGCAGGAAGGACTCACGTTGGGGAAGTTTGTGGAGAGCTGCCTCCTGTTGGAAGGGGCCCCACGTTGGAGCAGGGCAAGAATGTGAGGAGTCCTCCCCCTTGAGGAAGGAGCTGCAGAAACAGCATGTGCTGAACTGACCACAACCCCCATTCCCTGTCCCCCTGCAAGAAGGGAGGGGTGGAGGAAGGTGTTTTTAAGATCTGGCTTTGTTTCTTCTTAACCTCTCTGAAGTAACTGTTAACGGATTAAATTGATTTGTCCCCAAGCCAAGTCTGTTTTGCCCAGGCCCATGGTCGGTGAGTGATCCCTTCCTGTTCTTATCTTGACCCTCAAGTCTTTTGTTAAGTTTTTTTTCTCCTCTCCACCCCACCAGGGCAGGGAGGAATGAGCCAGCAGCCACATTAGCTGCTGGCTGGGCTAAACCACGACAGAGGTATACATCATAGCACCCCAAAAGTGACAGACTGGATGCCCCAAAGCATCCCTCCATACCCTGCATGCCTTGCTTCTCCTCCTCTGACCACACTGAGCAGCAAAACTATGCGCTGTCTGCAGCACATGAGTACAGAGAGCGCAGTGAGCACAGAGGGTATGTCTCAAGGGCACAGCAACCCCTGTGTTTCAGAGGCAGCACAGAACGGGTCTCCAGCAGGCAGGAATGAAGTCCATGGTGGCCCGGGGAGGCCATCCTACCCACCCTCCACTGACTGCAGGCAGCATGCCCACCCTTCTCAGCATAGCCTCAGGGAAACAGGACCTCCCTCCCCACCCTCTTCCTCAACCTGCTGCAGTCACTGCGTGAAACACCAGCCTGTCCCCTACCCTCCATTTTCCAGCAAGTACAAGGAATATTTACCACTGAAGCCCACCAAAAGAAAGATGTTGTCATTTGGTCACCAGTTTACGGCTGGATATCTTTAATGTTCAGGATACATCATGGAGACCTGAGGAAGAAGAGCAAGAACCAGTAATACGAACTACCCAAACCACCCATTGAAAGCTCAGTTTTGGTGTCCGCGTACTTCATCCCCCGATTTCAGACGCAAGCACCAGGCAGAGCAGGAGAGTCAGCCCAGCCGGCTTACTGGAGCAGCTCTTCCTCGTCCCAGTGTTAGGAGGCAGAGCAATGCAGGCAGCACACCAGCTAGCCTCAGTTCCTCGTGCTTCATGCTGCACTGCACCGGACCCTCTGTCTGCTGGGAAGCTGGCTCAGGACTGGGAATGGAGCCTGTCTGCGGGAACAGTCCACAGCCCCAGGCCTCAGCACTACAGGGATTTAAGAAAGATCAATCCAGAGGACACCTTCTGTTTGGCAGGGCTGCCTTAAAATCCACAAGCAACGACACCAGGAACTGGAGAGGTACTCCCTAGTACCCACCGCTTCCCATGGACTTCCCTAGCTTTTCCAGCCTAGAAGAGATTTCCTGTCAAACTCTGCCACCAAGTGACTTGGTTTATAGCATAAAAACACATCAGTGTGTGACACAGACCCACAACTCCAGAGATTTTCACTCCATAACCAATTACTTTGAACGTCAGGCTCCTGCTCTTCACATGCTGACACTTTGGGACTATAATCCCACACAGAGGCATGGACTGACTGCCAGAGAGGATCCTGGAAAGTGCGCTCTCTGCCCCTGGGCTGACTTTGCTCCAAACACGCACCAGTCTCTGGAGTCTGCAACTGGAAGTGCTTTCCAGAAAAGGCAGAAAGCTCTCCTGTATGGTATATACCCTGTACCAGTACACATTACATTCCGTGCCATGCTCCTGCCTCCAGCTCAGTTCAGTATCACAGAACTCTGCAGCTGGAAAACACAGGGCATTTGCTTTTAACATGTCTGTATTGGGAGAAAAC